CCTAAGCTAGATATTAGCCATGTGACCCAAGAGAACCAATCACAGTCCACACATCGGTCCCAGAGACAAGACCGGTGTGGGTGGGGCTTAGTGTTAGTAGAGGAAGGTGCTTGTTAAGGCGCGCGCTCTAGCCTTCCATACCCATCCTCCGTTGCCCAGGGACACCACTCACAGAGTCCCCTCCCCTCTACCATCATACACTGCGCTCACCTCAGCCGTGTCCGACAGGTATAGCGGAGCGCGCCTTGCACGAAGTGAAGAAGCATGACCGGGGCCTGCGGAGCTCCCCCCTTCCCTCACAACGGGTGACCTCACAAGGGAGACTTCAATGACTTCCAATCAGAGAGCAGCTCTGAACGTGAACTAGTCCCGTTGACTCCCATCTTCCCGCCCCCTGATTGTTGCCACTTGCCTGCACGTGAGGAGATATACACACCTGGTACACTGCTATAGATAAGTCCGGGACCGGAAGTCCCCCTTCTCCATGACCGGAACCCCCTCCCCTTGTGATGACAGGGCCTCGTTACCCTTCCCCCCAGAATGATGCTGATTGTGCTCTCTAAGAAGAACTCCATATAAATAATGCAGGGGTGTCACAGGCTCTGGCAGTGAAGGGGTCACAGGGGGTGTCACAGGCTCTGGCCGTGAAGGGGTCACAGGGGGTGTCACAGGCTCTGGCCGTGAAGGGGTCACAGGGGGTGTCACAGGCTCTGGCCGTGAAGGGGTCACAGGGGGTGTCACAGGCTCTGGCCGTGAAGGGGTCACAGGGGGTGTCACAGGCTCTGGCCGTGAAGGGGTCACAGGGGGTGTCACAGGCTCTGGCCGTGAAGGGGTCACAGGGGGTGTCACAGGCTCTGGCCGTGAAGGGGTCACAGGGGGTGTCACAGGCTCTGGCCGTGAAGGGGTCACAGGGGGTGTCACAGGCTCTGGCCGTGAAGGGGTCACAGGGGGTGTCACAGGCTCTGGCCGTGAAGGGGTCACAGGGGGTGTCACAGGCTCTGGCCGTGAAGGGGTCACAGGGGGTGTCACAGGCTCTGGCCGTGAAGGGGTCACAGGGGGTGTCACAGGCTCTGGCCGTGAAGGGGTCACAGGGGGTGTCACAGGCTCTGGCCGTGAAGGGGTCACAGGGGGTGTCACAGGCTCTGGCCGTGAAGGGGTCACAGGGGGTGTCACAGGCTCTGGCCGTGAAGGGGTCACAGGGGGTGTCACAGGCTCTGGCCGTGAAGGGGTCACAGGGGGTGTCACAGGCTCTGGCCGTGAAGGGGTCACAGGGGGTGTCACAGGCTCTGGCCGTGAAGGGGTCACAGGGGGTGTCACAGGCTCTGGCCGTGAAGGGGTCACAGGGGGTGTCACAGGCTCTGGCCGTGAAGGGGTCACAGGGGGTGTCACAGGCTCTGGCCGTGAAGGGGTCACAGGGGGTGTCACAGGCTCTGGCCGTGAAGGGGTCACAGGGGGTGTCACAGGCTCTGGCCGTGAAGGGGTCACAGGGGGTGTCACAGGCTCTGGCCGTGAAGGGGTCACAGGGGGTGTCACAGGCTCTGGCCGTGAAGGGGTCACAGGGGGTGTCACAGGCTCTGGCCGTGAAGGGGTCACAGGGGGTGTCACAGGCTCTGGCCGTGAAGGGGTCACAGGGGGTGTCACAGGCTCTGGCCGTGAAGGGGTCACAGGGGGTGTCACAGGCTCTGGCCGTGAAGGGGTCACAGGGGGTGTCACAGGCTCTGGCCGTGAAGGGGTCACAGGGGGTGTCACAGGCTCTGGCCGTGAAGGGGTCACAGGGGGTGTCACAGGCTCTGGCCGTGAAGGGGTCACAGGGGGTGTCACAGGCTCTGGCCGTGAAGGGGTCACAGGGGGTGTCACAGGCTCTGGCCGTGAAGGGGTCACAGGGGGTGTCACAGGCTCTGGCCGTGAAGGGGTCACAGGGGGTGTCACAGGCTCTGGCCGTGAAGGGGTCACAGGGGGTGTCACAGGCTCTGGCCGTGAAGGGGTCACAGGGGGTGTCACAGGCTCTGGCCGTGAAGGGGTCACAGGGGGTGTCACAGGCTCTGGCCGTGAAGGGGTCACAGGGGGTGTCACAGGCTCTGGCCGTGAAGGGGTCACAGGGGGTGTCACAGGCTCTGGCCGTGAAGGGGTCACAGGGGGTGTCACAGGCTCTGGCCGTGAAGGGGTCACAGGGGGTGTCACAGGCTCTGGCCGTGAAGGGGTCACAGGGGGTGTCACAGGCTCTGGCCGTGAAGGGGTCACAGGGGGTGTCACAGGCTCTGGCCGTGAAGGGGTCACAGGGGGTGTCACAGGCTCTGGCCGTGAAGGGGTCACAGGGGGTGTCACAGGCTCTGGCCGTGAAGGGGTCACAGGGGGTGTCACAGGCTCTGGCCGTGAAGGGGTCACAGGGGGTGTCACAGGCTCTGGCCGTGAAGGGGTCACAGGGGGTGTCACAGGCTCTGGCCGTGAAGGGGTCACAGGGGGTGTCACAGGCTCTGGCCGTGAAGGGGTCACAGGGGGTGTCACAGGCTCTGGCCGTGAAGGGGTCACAGGGGGTGTCACAGGCTCTGGCCGTGAAGGGGTCACAGGGGGTGTCACAGGCTCTGGCCGTGAAGGGGTCACAGGGGGTGTCACAGGCTCTGGCCGTGAAGGGGTCACAGGGGGTGTCACAGGCTCTGGCCGTGAAGGGGTCACAGGGGGTGTCACAGGCTCTGGCCGTGAAGGGGTCACAGGGGGTGTCACAGGCTCTGGCCGTGAAGGGGTCACAGGGGGTGTCACAGGCTCTGGCCGTGAAGGGGTCACAGGGGGTGTCACAGGCTCTGGCCGTGAAGGGGTCACAGGGGGTGTCACAGGCTCTGGCCGTGAAGGGGTCACAGGGGGTGTCACAGGCTCTGGCCGTGAAGGGGTCACAGGGGGTGTCACAGGCTCTGGCCGTGAAGGGGTCACAGGGGGTGTCACAGGCTCTGGCCGTGAAGGGGTCACAGGGGGTGTCACAGGCTCTGGCCGTGAAGGGGTCACAGGGGGTGTCACAGGCTCTGGCCGTGAAGGGGTCACAGGGGGTGTCACAGGCTCTGGCCGTGAAGGGGTCACAGGGGGTGTCACAGGCTCTGGCCGTGAAGGGGTCACAGGGGGTGTCACAGGCTCTGGCCGTGAAGGGGTCACAGGGGGTGTCACAGGCTCTGGCCGTGAAGGGGTCACAGGGGGTGTCACAGGCTCTGGCCGTGAAGGGGTCACAGGGGGTGTCACAGGCTCTGGCCGTGAAGGGGTCACAGGGGGTGTCACAGGCTCTGGCCGTGAAGGGGTCACAGGGGGTGTCACAGGCTCTGGCCGTGAAGGGGTCACAGGGGGTGTCACAGGCTCTGGCCGTGAAGGGGTCACAGGGGGTGTCACAGGCTCTGGCCGTGAAGGGGTCACAGGGGGTGTCACAGGCTCTGGCCGTGAAGGGGTCACAGGGGGTGTCACAGGCTCTGGCCGTGAAGGGGTCACAGGGGGTGTCACAGGCTCTGGCCGTGAAGGGGTCACAGGGGGTGTCACAGGCTCTGGCCGTGAAGGGGTCACAGGGGGTGTCACAGGCTCTGGCCGTGAAGGGGTCACAGGGGGTGTCACAGGCTCTGGCCGTGAAGGGGTCACAGGGGGTGTCACAGGCTCTGGCCGTGAAGGGGTCACAGGGGGTGTCACAGGCTCTGGCCGTGAAGGGGTCACAGGGGGTGTCACAGGCTCTGGCCGTGAAGGGGTCACAGGGGGTGTCACAGGCTCTGGCCGTGAAGGGGTCACAGGGGGTGTCACAGGCTCTGGCCGTGAAGGGGTCACAGGGGGTGTCACAGGCTCTGGCCGTGAAGGGGTCACAGGGGGTGTCACAGGCTCTGGCCGTGAAGGGGTCACAGGGGGTGTCACAGGCTCTGGCCGTGAAGGGGTCACAGGGGGTGTCACAGGCTCTGGCCGTGAAGGGGTCACAGGGGGTGTCACAGGCTCTGGCCGTGAAGGGGTCACAGGGGGTGTCACAGGCTCTGGCCGTGAAGGGGTCACAGGGGGTGTCACAGGCTCTGGCCGTGAAGGGGTCACAGGGGGTGTCACAGGCTCTGGCCGTGAAGGGGTCACAGGGGGTGTCACAGGCTCTGGCCGTGAAGGGGTCACAGGGGGTGTCACAGGCTCTGGCAGTGAAGGGGGTTACAGGCTCTGGCAGTGAAGGGGTTAAAGGGGCGGTTCTGTTCTTGTGTAACAGCTGAGCGGAGGGTTCAGCCAATCAGGGGACAGGAAGGCCTGTAGAAGTCCCGCCCCTCTTCCCTGTACCAACCAGCTGGGACAACACAATAGAGACACTCGGGGCCCAGTGACCCCGGGGCCACAATACAGCCTGAGATCCTCATCCTCCGGCCCCCTGAGACAGGTGAGCTGTGCGGGGACACATGAGGGGGGAGGGAGAGCTGCATATATCTGTGTGACCCCCTGCGGGGACACCGAGCCTGAGCACAGCCGTCCTGTGTCATGGTCTGCCTGGAACGGGGGAGGGGGCTACAGGGGCATGGAAGAGTATATAGAGCTGTATACCGTGATATACCCCCCCCCCTGTATATAGAGCTGTATAAGGGTGATGAGATATTTCCGGAACATTCTCTGATAATTGGTTGTCTGGCTGCATTCCGATGTCGGGAAGTCACTTGACCCATTCCAATCACATGACTGTCACTGCATTCATCTCCCCAATAATCATCACCAATATTATAGGGCACCGCTCTGATTGGACGGCTGCACACTTGTGGGTGGAGTCAGGGCTGTGTGGGATCACTTGGGGTTAGTGGAGGCCGCATCAGTCTCGGCTCAGGTGCGGTGACTGCAGGCACTGCGGGGGAGGGGGAACAGGTGCACATAAAAAAAAGAGGAAGGGGGAGCCAGACACAGTCGGGGGGGAGCCAGGCACAGGAAGGGCCCCGGGGTTTCCCTGCGATGGCGGCAGCGGGTGGAGGAGCGCGGGGTCCGCCAGGCGGTGGTCTGTACTTCATCATCTCACCGTCACGTCTTCTCCAGGTCACAGCGAGGAGGCTGAGAGGACGATGGAATGGAGGCCCCGGAGCAGTTCCGGGAGTACCAGAGGCTGCAGGACTTTGAGGAGGACTCTCCCCCTGGAGAAGAGGACCTGCTGGTACATGTGCCCGAGGCCGTGAAAGGTCAGTGCCGAATCCACCAACACGCGATTCCTGGTGAGCCGAGCCTCCCCGGAGGACTCCGATCCCCAGAATTCCCAGAGTCACATCCACCAATGGGGGGTCAGTACACAGCCGAGTATGATGTACAGCGGGATCTATCAATGGATCGTAAGCTGCTGGGCCCAGTCACATCCAGACTCATGAGAAGGGTCTGCAATGTATACAACATGTATGATGGGGGGGTCATGTGTGTATATAATATAGAACATGTATGATGGGGGGGTCATGTATATAACATGTATGCAGCCGCACTTGTTTGTGTCTACTGACTGTGCGTCCCTTCTCATCCTCCTGCAGACTCCTGGCATCACATCAAGAACCTGGACAATTTCTTCACCAAGATATCCTTTTACGAGCTTTTCCTGGAAAGGGGAGATGGGGGGGAGGGGGGCAGAAATCCAAAAACACAAAACCACAGGGCTCAATTTCTGGCAAAGACACAATCAGCCTGAAGGTTCTGCTCTTCCCGGAATGCTGGGAATGGAGAGCAAGAGATCAATGTTACTTTGTATCTCTCTATCTCCCTCTGATCAATGTTTATATACAATGTTACTTTGTATCTCTCTATCTCCCTCTGATCAATGTTTATAAACAATGTTACTTTGTATCTCTCTATCTCCCCCTCTGATCAATGTTTATATACAATGTTACTTTGTATCTCTCTATCTCCCCCTGAACAATGTTTATATACAATGTTACTTTGTATCTCTCTATCTCCCCCTGAACAATGTTTATATACAATGTTACTTTGTATCTCTCTATCTC